TTTATTCTGTTTATTGTTTGATAAGCAAGGTTATCTAGAGTTTACCAGTATATAGGACAGGATATTAAAATTTCTCGGCTCAACCAAAAGATGCCCTTCTAAAAAAAGGACTAAAATCTGATGTTTGGTAAGAGTTGTGTGAGTAGATGGCATCGATAATTTTTCAGTACCCGCTCCTAATATTTTACAAATTGCCACGCGTAGTCGATGACGACATAAACAAATGTTTATTTTCCATCTTTTTCGTTTTACTATAGAAGGCATTTGGCGTAATTTTTTTTGCATATTCTGCCATAACGCCACAATAATGGAGCTCTCAATGAGATTCGATTCACTGGCAGTGGTTTTGAAAATTGCATGTTGACACTTAAATTTATCAAATAAATTTTGACGGCGGACCAATTCGTCTCGTTGTAGTGAGTTCGATTTTCAATCGTAGCATGTAATGAGAAAATGTAAAGCCTATTTAACATCTGATGTAACTACAGTAGAGAAGTACTGGAAAAGCTGATGTTGCAAGACAGTGACAAGTTCGATTCTTGTTGGTATAGGCATACAGAAGGCACTTATCTCCCTATGGTGAAGATAAGTCACGTGGGTCATAGGATATTTGCTTAGTGACGTCAGTCAATACACTGGCGAAAGCGGCAGTCAAATTCAGTTCGTTTCACAAAAGCCAAAGCGAAAGGTTGTTTTCTTTAGAAGAGGCTAAATCTGCCCCTACCCCAAGCAGCTTACAAATCTATGATTCCTTTTCCCTTTGGGAATATATCTTTCCAAGATATAGAATGAAGCTCCAGCTCGTAGTCCTCAATTTGGGAAAACCCAAGATTCACTGTTTCCCGTTTGTGGAATAAGTCCTTGCTTGGGACATAGATGGATCCGGCTCGTTTGAATTTGAAGTCCTAAAAATGGCTTCTCCAGACACAGGAGTATCTCTTTATTATATGATTCTTCCTTTTTGTTTCACTTTACACTCTGCTTTGGTGTTTAAATACATGTTATATATTATTCACCGCATGGGACATGTGTATATATGTATATATATTTTGTGTTTGTCGTAGTATTATAAAAGTTTTTTTTTCTTTTTTTTTCTGAGAACCAAACATATTTGTCATCCATTTTCATTTCGGCCATTCCGTTCCGTCCGTGAAGTACGATGTTATTATATCATGTATATATTAATGCCCATAATGAGGGAAATTCAAATGGGAAAACAAATCTTTCTACCACAGCTCTCTCCCGTTACACTGGTTATTCCAATACTCTGCTCCAATCAAAGCTAAGGTTGTTCAGTATCTATAAAAACAGTCGACATTTAGTAGAAGGTTACCAGTAGTATCCGACGTTAGTTTTTAACTCTTGGTGTTCTGCCACAACATGTCAGTGATTGCCTGTGAACCTGAATAGCAGCAAATTAACATTAAACAAGTAATGATTTTTTTACGATTTATGAACTCTATTCTTAATTTTAAAGAAAGAAAATTCACTTTTTTATTGCTTATTTAATTCCTGAATTCCCCTAGATATAGTCAGTAGAACGAGAATAATCTACTCTCGTATATTGGAATAAAGGTTTCAGTTCAAAATTCCATGAAGATTGCACAAATAAAAGACAACTGAAGAAGGTTGGAGGGCACAACGGTCGAAACGTTATAATAATAACAACAAAGATGAAGATATTTATCTGAGTGTAAATAATGTAAATAAATCTGTGAGAGCTGTCAACTTTTGGTGATTTGCTTTGTTTTGATACAATTATGGTCTATCATATTCATGTTTACGGTTTCGATAGTTTTGATGCTTTTATGCTTCCATAAAAATGTGGTATATGAAAAATCGAAAGTTTTCCTATTCATTTCTGAAAAATATGTAATCCGAAATTATTTGAGTGACATCTGCTGTCTGTAAAACAGCTGTCACAAACAGAATTTCTCATCTATAAACTTTCGATTGGCCTATTTTAGCTTAATGATTCATAAATGCCAGGTGGGTGAGTTTCGTTCTAAAAAATGTCGGAGAAAATAGTTACTGGATATATGATATAATCATTATTAATAATATTTTTTAGAGAAAAAAATAGGGTTTCGATAAAAAGCAATAGAATTTAAGATGACACAAATACGTGTCTAAAGGTGAATTATAATTGACGAGATTTTAATAGTAATAGTATATTTTAGATAATGTCATTTATAATACTACTCGTGAAAGAAAACAAAGTGTGTCAGATAACTAAAGAAAATAAGGAATTGCTATTCTTAAGTGCTTAACAGAAGTGGTCGTCTTAATAATGGCGAGTCAGATTTTTTCAGTATTTAATAAAAGGGGGTGGGCGTCTTAATAGAAAGAGAATAAGGAAATAATTTACATCTTCAAGTGATCAAAACGGGTGGAATTAATAAACGGGGTGACGTTAATAAGCTCGGGGCTTCGGAAAATTCGTTAAGAAAAATGCCCCACTGTATGCCCAGATTTACATGCTCGTAAACGACAGTCCCTGTGGTCACATCTGTAAAGCCACTTCCACTGTAAAACAGACTTAAATCCCATTGGAGTCTTATTATTTATTTTTGACCTGCTTTACTTACTAAAGGTCGTATAGTGATAATCGCGATGACATACAAATGAAATTAGGATGACAAAAATATTAATCTAAAAAATGTAATAAATTATTATTTATAATTTGTTTTTTGTATTTGCATTTTTAAACAATTCCTTAAAAAATCATATTATTGCATATATATATATTGAAAATGAAAAAATATAGTTTTACTAGGCTGCTTCTCTTCCTTTTGAGAAAATGCCCGCGTAGTCAAACTGCTTGAAAGACTGAATATGTCACTGTCAGCAATTTCCAATTGGCGGTTGTTGATTCCGTAAGAGACGGCCATCTTTTGAAAAATTAGCCCTTTATGTCTTATGTAACGCTATCCCCAAATGTTATGATGATCAGTGCCATTTTGAGAAAAGATGTCCTCAAGGCTGGAGACACTGGCAATCTTGAGAATTGCAATGTTTATCATGAAATCACTCAAGTGTAGAACTATGCGATTACGTCAACGTTAATGGAAGTGTTCAAGACGGCTAGTACTTGACTCAAGATTCGTTATCATGAATGAAAGTAAACAGCATGAAGGTTTTTTTTCTTATTGTCCATACATTTGCTACAGCCAAATAAAGATTTTCTTTATAATTGCCAGTATGTTGTCTATCTCTTTATCTAAGTTGGCACCAAAGGGTATGACACATAACAGATAGATGAACACTGTTGGGTCGATAAAGATTGTAGGAGTAATTTTTTTTTCATATTAACTTCGATACCAAGGACTCCTATGGGCGTTGCAAAGCAGACGAGTATCATATATTGTTGCGTAAATTATATCTGACGATAAACAATCACGTGGGTACCATCAAGTTTTATTGTGTTGCCGTTCTCGTAGCAGCTATCAAATACAACCACATACATACACATACCCAAACATGTGTATATATATATATATATATATATATATATATATATATATATATATATATATATATATATATATATATATATGTATGTATGCATGTATATATTTATCCACAAACAGACTGTTTGCAAATTCACTTTTCTTCTCGAACAGCTCAACAAAAATAATTTTTTCAGGAATATATATGCATATATATATATATATATATATATATATATATATATATATATATATATTTGTCATCCACAGACAAACTGTTTCGCTGTTTCACAGCTCGTCAGTGTGACTAGACATCCGATTACCTCAAGCCATTGGCGCACGGAAGGTGAATTTAGACGTATTTATTTTTATACAAACACGCCAATGACCGGAGAACTCGATTCGTCTTAACGAAGAGTCTTATTATTTGTTTATTTAAGTAGCAAATGTTCTTATTAAAGACAGCAGACATTTTGTGTAGATTGATTTTAATGACCGACTTATAATCCTTCTCAGACAAGGAGGAAATTCCGTCAGAAATTGCCCAAAGTTCATTTCGGAAGAAAAGTGCAAGAAATATGGTTTAATCTTTCGATTTTCTGAAGTCATCATTAGAGTAGGTTGAGACAATTGGTGATTTTCGTAGAACTAGTGAGTGTTGTGCGTAAGCGATGTGACGTTTTATTTTTTTTGTTATATATATATATATATATATATATATATATACATTTAAAGATGCGGGCTGTTAAGTTATTACATATTTCTAGAACTTTTCTTCCGAAATTAATTTCGGAGAATTTCTGATGAAAAATCGATCATTAAAAATTAATCGACAAAAATGCCTGTTGTTTTTAATCGTGTATATATATATATATATATATATATATATATATATATATATATATGTGTGTGTGTGTGTGTGTGTATGTATGTGCGTGTGTGTGTGCGTGTGTGTGTGTGCGTGTGTGTGTGCGTAGGTTAATGAGTAGGTAGGCTGACAGCTAGGTAGGTAGGTAAGCACATCGGTAAATCCAAAGCTTAATCATAAAGATATTTTATTTACACAGAAAAGGTATTCATTTATAAGAAAAATCGTTTTTTTCAATTTTTAATGTCTCCTTGCTTCTCAATAAAATTAACCCAACGCTTCTTCATTAATCACATACATTCAATATTATATAGTGAATATATATATATGTATATATATGTATATAAAACCGTCATGTATATTCATTTTTGCTCAAACACATTTCTGAAGCTATTTTTCATCACATTTATTAATTTGCATTCTTTTTCTTTTCGTTTCAGCCTTCAAGATTCTTCACTGCTTTTTGCTGGAAATCAGAACAAAAAAAAAAACATCAAAAGATTTGGTTTCCTTTTTAACAACACCAACTTACCAAGCATCGTGAGTCACCGAAGTATTTCAAATATATATATATATATATATATATATATCTTTATATATATTTATTATTTCATTTTTGCTAAGTTCTCGGGGTTTATCAATCTATTGCCCGACCATCTTTCTAAATTTCGGCCTTACTTAAAATGGACAGCAGTGGTCGTAGTAATGATGATAACCGCGGTCATCCCCGTCATTTTTTAACTCCAGATGGCAAAAAGATGGACAAGTCGCCCAGTCTACATGGTATGCACGCTCAAAGTTCAACCGAAACAAGCGGCTTGGGAGAAACTATTACTTCGGGATTTTCGTCTCAGGACAGCGTGCTAAGTGGTAAGGATCTTGAGTACTATAATAACTCCTCCACCGATGCAACGGTGGTGAGAAACCCCAAAAGCGTGTCGGTCACGGATGAGAGCATCAGAGGAGTAACCCGGATCGGACGGAAGCCAGTCATTCGTCCAATAGGAACCCAGAAAAAGAGTTACGCCCCTGTGCCTGCAACGGCTGATGTGAATGACGAAGACATGTTTATCAACCAGACGAATTTCGACGCTCTGTTTATGCAGAGCGCCGCTGAGGCCGCGCGAGTCGACGAGAACAACGTGACATCTCGTATGACTTCGTCCGGGCAGACGAACTCTCACCAGAGAGACCCCATAGACGAATGGGAAAGAGGAGGTTCGGTGAGGAGCTCTATAAGGAGTCACTCGTCGATCGGGTCCTTTCGGTCGCGAAATGGATCCCGGAAAAGTCCCAGGCGATTCCTGGGCGTCGGAACAAAGTCAACGTGGATGAAGTGGTCGGAGGAACGCAGAGCGTCGTACCGACGACGAATCGAACTACTGGACAAACCAAAAGTCGACACGGACCGCGTGACCACCCCAATCAAGAAAGCGCGTCAGGAGTGCCTTAAATTTGTCCATCCCGACTTGGAGAAGAATTATCTCTCAGAAGATGACATCAATGATTTAAAGAGGCATAAACAGCAGCAGTATTATACTTATAGCGTGATCGAGAAGTCCAAAAAAGGTCGCTACCCAGTGCGGACAGAGGTACACCTCACAGTGGCCGAATGGAACATTATTAATGATTTTTGGCAACATAATCTTTTTCAAAGAACCCGCTATGTGGGTGTCGCAATAAGTTTCTTTACTCTAATCCTTCAAATACTCAGCATCACAAGTACGCAATGGATATCTTATACTCGACATACACGTGAGTAACACGTTTTTTTGTCCTTTTCTCTCGTTTTCAGCTAATTTGCTATCGACATCTTGTTTTTTGTCTACCTTGCTTTCTTCACATCCTCCTACCGTTTTAACATAGACTCTACTAATAAAAACCTATCCTTACAAGAGTAAACAGGTGTCTCTTTAGATACTTACCTTCCACTGACAGAAAGTAAGATTTCTAAAATTAATATCATTTAAGTCTGGTTGACCTGCTACGTTTAGAATATTGGCGCAATACAGTCTTCCAACCTCTATTCATTTCAATTTGACCTTCTACCTTCAAAGTTATGTGTAGAAAATATCTTAAACTAATGCATACGCGTTGTCATCCAGAGTCTGTATTCGTTGTAGGTGAAACGCGAAAAACTATTATTTCGAAAGCGTTATGCTTTTCAGCCAAGAGAAATCTAAACTGAAAACACAATCTTCGTCATTTTATATTTGATCCGAGATAGGAATGGAACATAAACTTCATATCTGCAATAAAACAAAGAATTTCTTTATCGTTCAAGTAGATTCGAAACTACAAATTTTCGAGCATCCCTGACTTGAATTAGATTTCTTCATATTAAAAACGAAATACATGTTCGATCTCTGATGAAACGTTTATTTTCTTAAATAAGAGTTTCTATTTCTAGATCAGTTGATATTAATCTCATTGTTTCAAAATAAGAAATGTCCACTCGGTCACGTGCACCCACTAAATATAAAGTCTGTATTAATGACAATATGAACATATTTTATTAACTCAAAGTATTAACTTATAGTGGCTAGTTCGTACAATATAATAATAATAATAATAATAATAAATAATAATAATAATAATAATAAATTGTCTTTATTTAATATCAGATTAAAAAAAACATATCCACAGACTTTAAACGGGAGGAAGGGGGACTTACATGTAAGGCAGTCTTCCTCTCATCTCCCCAATTTATTTTTTCATGACAATAAGAAGTAAAAAAAGAAGAAAAAAAGAAGAAAAAAGAAGAAAAAATACAAAAAAGAAAACATAAAACAGAAACAGTAAAGCACATCAATAACAAATCAATAAAACAACAGCGGTACTTGTGCCCATCCTATTAAAAAAAATAAAATTGAAATTCATACACATTTACTGGGTGTTGTTAGAAGCCAATAAGGTACTGCCATCAACCAGTCAAAAAAATATTGTAATAATTGTTTATAAAAGCAAAATACAAAATTTACTGTGAATCCAATAAATATTTCCCATTATGTTTTTGAAATGATAACGTAGAAATAATTTTAATATTCATAGCTTTTAAAATTTCATTAAATTTCTTACATATCAAGACAAAAAAAGACATAATCCTTATTTTAGTCTTAGCAAAAGGGGGGATCCATTTGGCATGTGTTCATGTATTTCACTTCGAGTCTTTATACGGTTCAACAGATACATGGACACTTTATTATTTTTATATTGAACATTAAAACAAGACGCCATTTCTTCATATTTAAAATGTTATTTCTTTTAAAAATTCACTTAAACGATCATATTTTGATAAATTGAAAGCGAAACGAATGCATATGTTCTGTTATTTTTTAAATTTATTATATTTTGTATAAGAACATCACCGTAATTAAATGGAGAGAGAATTTACGTTTCAATTAATTTTTGTTTACATGGTTCGCTTAAAATGTATTTGAACCGTAATGCATTTTTTAGATTACCGAATGCCTTTGCAAAAACCAAGTTAACCTGCTTGGTCCATGTTAATTCTTCATCGAAAACAATACCTAGACTCTTCTCTTCAAAGACCTTTTCGATCACTCTTTAATCGATAATAATTGGATCCAGCTGATCACCTTTTACCTTTCTAAGATTACAACGAGATCCAGTTAAAATAAATCTACTTTTCTCAGCGTTTAATTTTAAACAATTCAATATTGAATAATCCACAATTCGTTCAAGATCACCAGTTTTGTTTGAAATAAGTTTCCTTTATTTTCTCATATTTGCATGAATAATACAATTGAGTATCATCAGCATACATGTGATATCTACCTCTCTCTACAGCAGCACAAAGACCACAAATGAACATTGTAAAAAGCAATGGACCAAAGACCGAACGCTGAGGTACCCCATTTTGCATTTCATTCCAACAATTTTCCCCTACTCGTTATAACATTTTGGTATCGGCCACTAAGATAGGAGAAAATCTATTCAAGTGAATCATTGAATCCCGCAGCCACAAGCTTAGTGATTATAAGTTGATGGTTAGCACAAGTCTAAGGTTTTAGTATAATCAAGCAGAACAAAAAAAAAAAATTTGAATCATCAATACATTCATATGTATTATCTAAAATGTTTAAGAGCGTTGTAATTGTATTGTGTGATTGTTTATAAGCAGATTGTAAAGTGTCAAAATAATTGGGTTCTTTCAAATAATTAATCATTTGCTTTGCAATTAATTTTTCTATTACCTTCGAAAACACTGGAAATAAACTTATTGGTCGGTAATCAGAAGCACAAGTAAGGTTGTTACTTTTAGGGAGTGGTGGCTTAACTAGTGCATTCCTCCAAATTTTTGGAAAATATAGAATTGTTTATTATATTTGTAAAAGCATATACGGAATGTTTAATTCCTAATTTCAAGAAAAAAAGCCCTAATTCCATCTCTATCACACACGCATTCGTATTTATTAACCAAACCTTTTTTATTACGTGTCACTCATTCACTTCAGAAAATGAAAAAGATGGACGTAAGGATTTCTTCAAAATTTGTCTCAGTATTGTTATTTTTCAAAAATGTATAATTCAACAAATTTGGATCAATATTGAAGTGATCTATATTACAGCTGGATTCGACAACATCAAGGCTTTTGAAGCCATGATGACATTGCCTAGCATCTTTAAATTTTACATTGATTCTTTCGTTGAAGATCTTTACTCTGGCTTTTCTAATTGAGTGGGATACGACATTACGAACGGTTTTAAATATTTGTTCAGTTTCTGGCTTTTTGTCCACGTTAAATTTATTTTTATATTTATTTCTATTATTCATTACTTTTTTTAATGTCTTTTAATATTTTGTTATCAATAACGTCATCATCGACCGCCAGAATATTACCCCAAAGAGCAAATTCCATGTTTCTCAAAAAAAAAGCGCTTCATCAATACTTCTAAAATTCTTCTTTCTAACAATTTGGAGCTTGAACTTGGGATTTTCGAGCAAATACGTCCTAAAAGTTGAGCAATAATCCAAAATACTTGGCGTATCAACAACACCATGGACCTTAATGTTTTCAGAATTAGTTGTCAGTATGAGATCAATCAAGGTACTACTCGATTTCGCAATAAGAGTAGGCTAATTTATCACTTGTGTAAGGGCAAATGGTTCAGTAACAAAAGAATTAAAATATCTCAAAGCAGAGGACTCAACCTTTAAATGATCAACATTCATATCGACAAGTAAGAGACAATGTTTATAATTTGAAGTGAAAAAGGTTTCATCATTTTACAGTTGAAATATCTAGATGTAACCGTAAGTTCTATGTTAATAGTTTCTTCTTCCGTATCTCTCACTTATGGAACACTCTTCCGGCTTCTCCTATCTTCAAAGATTTAAATGCAACGTCAATTGTCATCTGTCTCCTTAAAACCTGTTCTTTTATTTCCCTTTCTGTTTCTTTCATTTTCAGTTACCTTCTTGCGCCGTAGTGGCTTTGATCGCCTTACGTAGGGCGAAATAATTTTTAGAAAGCGCTGATTTTGGTTATGTTTGCATTTAACTAGTGTTATATTCAGCATCATGGCTTAAAATTATAATTTAGAAACACAAAAGGTGCATTTTGACAAAGAATTGTTTAAAATATTTTCATTTAAAAGATTCCAATATTCTGTTTACATCATTTGTTTTTGCCTCGTGTCATCGTCACGCAATAAAATG